TTTTAACTTTATAAATTCCCCCCCCCCCCCCCCCCCCCAAAAAAAAAAAAAAAAAAAAAAAAAAAAAAAAAAAAGAGAGAGTATATTTTGCAACTTAAGGTGCGATTTCATATTCAGTAACCTCTTTTAAATTACATTCAATCAAAATGGAATAGACATTTGTATAACCACGTGTCCACATGCATGATATTGAATATTGTCGCATTTTTGTGATAACAATAATGATAAAATGTTATATTTAAATTATTATTATTATCATTTTAATGGTTATTATCATTATTATAACAGTCTTAAACCTATCAAGAAATGTTTAATAGACCTGAAAAATGTAAAAATGGAATGTCAGTTATGTCAATAGTCAGACTGTCTGAAAAAAAGATATAAAATGCGAATAAAATAAGATTATCACTATAGCCACTTTATGATGTAATTTTATTTCTAAATGATACTTATTTTGTAAAAAGAACAGTGTTGGTCTTCCACCTTCTTGAAAACTAACAAAAATAGTGTCATTGTCAAATGTGGCGGTCGTCTACATTTCATCACATCAACTTGCCGGAGAAACACCTAATACATGACTAGAACGAACAAGTGGACGCCCACATATCCAATAAAAGAAAAATCGCCGTCTTAAGATTTTATTAAGGAGATTACAGTCTTGACTCATTTCATCCTAATCTTATTTTTGCCGCGCGCGATGACGGTGAACGGTGAACTGTTGCCGAAGTTGGTGTCGAGTTGTCAATCAAAGAGACCATTCCCAGAGACTATGGTACTAACTTTGGATCATTCTATCCCCAAGGGGTTCTCACTAAATTTCTATCAACTTAAGCGGTTTGAATGTCTGTCACGCCTACTAAAGTTGCTAGGGGGTAAATAACTACTGGAAGCCAGGCGTGCATGAATGTTAATAGGAGATGTCCGGGATAGCCTATTTTGAACATCTGCGCAGCAGATGACGTCAAACGAGACCTGGATTGGAGCGAGATTTCACGAGAGGTGGGGTTAAAATCTGCCATTGAAACTTCTCTCGCGGTCAGGCACAAGTCTATGTTTTAGGAATNACGGAATGTTGATCTCCATTACACCCCCCCCCTGGGTCGCTTCGTAATGTTACTCCCACCTAGCTTTCAACAACCGCAGTCCAGAACGAGTGGTTTAAATTACACAATTAAATTAACTCATT